CGGTAGCCTGTCTAGTGTAAAACTGAATGAAGATGAGGGGTGCCAAATAAACATCAGTCACAGACCAGGAGATTCAGGCCAGGAGGCTGTTTCCCTCTCCTGTTCCCTCTATGTCCCTTCTTGGCTTCTGAATGATAAACAGTAAGAATCTGGGCTTTGCTTTCCTAGATGACCCCCATGTACACACTGTAAACAGAACAACACCTTCAATCTGGGGGAAGGATCTTTCATGCCTGTAAAGGCAGAAAACAAAACAAATGAAACAGACATGCTCCCCACCTTGTTTCCCGTATGGTGATAAAACGCTCTACCTATAGCCCTGGCATCTATTGCCTCTTACATCCAGCAGCACGTCTCCTCTTGCAGGTCACGTCTCTCACATAAAAGTGCTAAACTAATGCCGCTTAATGACAAATTAATGTCCATGAATAAAAAATACACCTCTAATAGCATAGAGTAATTTGCCATTACAATATCATCATTGGACATGCCCCTGGTTTAATACGATGTATTTAATTCATAACCTAATGAGTGATATATAAAAAGAGGGAGATGAACCCTGCAATTACATTTATGTGAGTCTGTCACCTTATTTGTAAAACCTTAGAGTCATTTACATTCAAATTAGAACAAATGAGTGATTTCACAAAGTGCGCTGATAAATGACCACAGCAGCTCAAGACGAAACTGTATTTCCTGTGAACACATTAACAGCTTCCTATTATTTGTTAAAAATTACAATGCATATTGCCCAGTGTGGTGTGAATAATGACTTTTTTACTGATTAGGTCAGAAGACTAATATGTAGCAAAATAAATAATTTTTCTTTTCATTTTTTTCTGATTTTTGCTTTAAATTAACTACTGAATTCTGATGGATTCACACTGCCATCTGCTGGCTAGGAGTAGATACCAGACCGAGTTTGATCAAAGGGAGCGTGTGTATACACTACTTTGGTGGTTTTGTTTGAAAGGTCTTGTGTGACAGTTTTTTTTTTTTTAATCAATGCATTTAAATTGCATATCATTAGAAAGGCTATGATACTTGGTGAACAGAAAGAACACTTATTAATCAAACAACAGGACATACTATTTGGGGAAGATGGTACAAAATGTACAAGCTTTTTTTTTTTTCCTTTGGGGGAGGGGGGCAGTAAGCTAACTACCAAAAAAAAAAAAAGACATTTTCCTCAAAGCACAAGACTGCAATGCATCGCTTTCAGGGAATGCAACACAAAGTTCAGTTGCCAAGACCCTTGATCTTATGGCATTGTGAGCGGGGGTGGGGTGGGTGAGTCATCATGTGTGGCAGAGGGGGAGAGAGAGAGAGACAGAAAGAGGCAGAGAGACAGGGAGAGAGAGACAGAACGAGACAGAGAGACAGAGACAGAGAGAGGAAGACAGAAAGAGAGACGGAGACAGAGAGAGAGAGAGACAGACAGACACAGACACAGACAATAGGAGCGAACATGTGTGTGATGTTTTCTGCACTCCTGCCCCTTGGTACAATCTAAAAAGGGTCTCTACCAACTAATCTTCTCCCCTGATGGCAAGTCCCAGTACGAAAAGTCTGCCTAAGGGTCCAGAACAAAACGGACTAGGAAAGGCACTATGGCTGGAGATGCGGCGGGGGAGGAACAGGCCCAGTCTTGGAACTGAGGTGAAGGGTCTTTGGAGGTGAAAAAATGCACCTGAATGATCACCAGGGTAGCTAGCTAGTGAAAGCTTCCAAACCCATCAACATCCTGGCTCTGAATTTAAGTTTCTCCGGCCATAAAAAGTAAACACCCACCTACCTGCCTTGAGGGATGACTTTGCAGAGTGGAAATGCGAGTGCTTGCAAAACCCTCAGCTTCGATCAGCCCTCGAGAGATGTGGGTTCCCTTCTCTGAGAAAGATAGTGATGCTCTGGGAACTATGATTTGGCATAGATTGAAGCTAGACACAAGCAGACAGCTCAGGAGAATATTATAACCCATAAGCAAGAATGGTGAGAGTCTCCAGAAAGGTCAGACACTCCTCCTACCCTATTAATTAGCACCACGTTCATTGCCCAGCTCTCTCCTTTTTGTACAAATGTGCTTTGAGAACCTGTGCAAAGGCCTCGCAGTCTGGGGGTCTAATTCAACAGCTGTCCTTATGGACACGGATGGGCTCTGCTCATGAGGTTAGAGGTCCCTGCCCTCAGCAGCCTGGCAGAGGAAAAGCCAGAGAAAGGAGCCCACACAGAGGCCTTAAGGTGTCCCTTTCACTTTCTGGAGGGCAGCAGCAACATTTGTGTGTTTAAAGGAGCGTCAGGCTGGGGAGGTTCAGGGAGCTTCTACCAAGGGTTCTCCTCAGATTCCTTTTGCAATGACAACAGGGCTTTATTAGAGCAGGGGTCTACCCCCTACTCCTCTGGCAGAGAAACCAAAGAAATAATGGCAAATTAGAAACAACAGAATAATACTAGACATCTTAGTACGGAGAATGGCTTGAAAAACTCTTAGTTGATGAAGGACCACTTGAAGATGAAGAATATATTTGCATTTATTGATGAGGCATACTTTCTATGTATATTTTAAGCGCTAGGAATTTTTCACTTTAACAAAAAATTATTTTATATGCTGAATAAAATGGCCTCATATGACATTAAAAGTCAAGGCCGGGCGCGGTGGCTCAAGCCTGTAATTCCAGCACTTTGGGAGGCCGAGATGAGAGGATTGCCTGAGCCCACAGGTTCGAGACCAGCCTGGGCAACATCACGAGACCTCATCTCCACAATAAATAAAAAAATTAGCCTTACATGGTAGCACACACCTGTAGTTCCAGCTACAAGGAAGGCTGAGGCAGAAGGATTGCCAGAGCCCAGGTCAATGCTGGGGTGGCCATGAGCGTGCCACTGCACTCCAGCCTGGGTGACGGAGTGAGACTCCAACTCAAAAAAAAAAAAAGTCAGTTGAGCAATATTGTAAAAATATGGCAAACAGGTATAGTCATAAGATTGTGTCAAAGTATAAAAGCAAACCAGCTCAGTCTGTGACTTTTATATTCTTAAGAGAGAAGTAGGTAAAAGATTGAAGTAATAAAGTTTTCTACATATACATGTTTTTGGAACTCATATAGTCAAAATTTCCTTCTACAAGTTTGGCACCTTGAATAATCACAGGTAGAAAGAAAATATAAAGTTACACAAGAAAATGAAATGAAAAAAATTGTAAAAAGACATTGAAGTTTCAACCACTGTTCAAGAAGCCTGAATAATAACGGTCTGCAAAATATATCTTTGTGCAAGTTCCACTTTCACCTCAGCAAAATAATGAAATGCAAGAGTTCAACTCCAAAGTACACAAGTCAGTTAGTGTCTCAACAAATTCATGTGATAGGCTAAGAGAAAATAACCATGAACTTTTGATGTTCATCTGGAATTCTCATTTATAGAAAACTATAGGTATAGGTATGCACACACATCTGTATATACACACCATTTGTAATATGCATCATGATAACTAACGCAATAACCAAACTTGTGTCAACATGCATCACTGATTATTATCTGCCAAGGAAAAAGTGAATCAGGTGATGATGGATAAGGTTCAAGTTGCAATATTTGATGTAGAAATGTCAAATAAAAGTAATTTCAATTTCACAAGTCAAACACACACTTTTGAAGTCTTATAACCTTTCTATGTGATTCCCATTTGCTACTGGCAGAAAGGGATTAAAAACAGCCTTCTTATCCACCTGACAATATTGAGGGGAAAAGAAAGGAAAATAAGATGAAAATAGTTAAACATTTACTGTTAGATTAAATGTGCTGAGATAATGATAAAAATTTCATATACTGTATTTGAATTGTTCCTTAGATGAACATGGCTGACATTCCTCACGTCGTCTGACCCCTGTGAAGCCCCGGTTCCTTTTTCCCAGGGTGGCTGGGGAGATTAAATAAGATGCTGTATGAGAAAGAGCTTTGCAAACTACCTAGTGGGTAACAGGAGTCAATAACAAGGGTATATTTAGAATTAGAGAAAATGATTAGAAAGGAGAATAAAGTAATTGGGCAGGAAAACAATTTTTTTCCTGCTCTCTCATATCATGTCATATGCACAAAGATAGTGGAATTAAATTGTGTGGATTTATTATGTATTCAAATCAATTTTCATGGTTGTTACAACGCTATGATAAATGCAAGTGAAAGTGACAGCAGTGGGAGAAATGGGAAGATTCTACAGTTGGCAATTCGTTTGTACATCTCTGTAAAGTCAAAGAGCTTTACAGCCAAGCTCTCTGCCTAAGATGCCCTGTGTCTTCCTCCCTAACAGAGTCTTCATCCAAGAACAAAAACCATCTCTGGAATCAGAAAGGCATGCCACTCATCAGCTGTATTGCCTCAGGCAAGTTGGTACATTTTGAATCTCTGCTTGTTCATCTATAAAAATGTGCAAAGTTGCTGTGAGGGTTGAACCCAAAACACCTGTGCGTATACAGCTGGTGCTTGGTGTGGGGGAGTATTCTCTCCCTTCCTGTCATGGAGTCTTTTCTGACCAGCAAGTCAGAGGAAGAATGAACAAATCATTCACCTCTTCTCCAGCATTTACTGCCTGGGAAATTCACGTGGTGATTAATGATATGTGACTTTGTGATTTATTTGCGACTGTTACTGAAATCTTCAGTGAGTATTCACATTTGTGGTTATTTCCGTAACAGACAACACGGTTTCAGACTGGGACCCTTTCTGTTGCATTCTCTCCAGGACCCCACGGTGAACCCTGTGTGGGTTGAGTTAATCTGCTTGCTGCCCAAGGGTAATGGGGACCAGGGGTGGACAGGAGGGTGGAAGAGTGGCAGCCATCCCCCTAGGAGCCCCTCAGCTTGTGTCCTGGAGAAATTCTACCACCACAGCCCATACCCTCCATGTGTTCATTTTACCTGTTACCCAGCTCTATCGGTGGAGGACAGCTTATGACTGCAGGGAAAAGGAAAGTGAAGTTAATATTAGCAGGATGCAAGCTCACATACCTGGATGAGATAATGGGAACATAAATTGAGAAGCTCCAACAGCTGTAGATGACTGCCAGCTGCTAGCACATCCTGGATCACGCCTGGCTCCAACAAAATCTGTTTTGAGTTTTAATGAAAAGAAAACTATCAGTTACGTTGAAAAATTAACATAGCACTGCTTGATATGTAAATATACCATGCTATATATGTTTTTAAAATTGCTGCTTTACATACTCTATCTGAATGAATAAGCTCCTTATTTTGGACATCAGTTCTTCTCTTTCTATTCTGATTAGTGAGCTGTGGCCCCCACTGCAGCAGCTGACTTTTCTCCTTGCTGCATGGGCCGGTATCATCCCTGCGTGTAAAGCGTTGCACTTAACCACTTATTTTTTTGTGGGAGGATATGAACATTTTCAGGGAACAATAGAACCCTCTTAAAATTCAGTTCATGATGTAATCTTACAAAATACAAAAGAACTGAGTTTTAGTCTTCCAAAGTATATTTCAGAATTTTGCTCTTTCGTAAATCACAGAAGGAGGTATTTTAGAAAAACAAGCCTATGTTTCTCCTAGTCCTGTGAGACCAGAGGTGGGTGTTATTTCATTTGACTTTTTTTTTTTTTAATCAGAGTTTAACTTTGAGCCCAGGCTGGTGTGCAGTGGCACAATCACAGCTCACAGTAGCTGACCTTCTGGGTTCAGGCGATCCTTTCACTTCAGCCTCCTGAGTAGCTGGGACTACTGTCGTGGTGCCATCATGCCCAACTAATTTTTTGATTTTTGTAGAAATGAGGTCTCACTATGTTGCCTAAGCTGGTCTCAAACTCCTGAACTCCAGCGATCCTCCCGCCTTGGCCTCCCAAAGTGCTGGAACCCAGGCGTGAACCACCACACTCGGCCTTCATTTGACTTCTAAGTCCTACCTACAACAATCAACTCCAACAACAAACTTCCACTTCCCACTTTTTCAGCCCAGATTCTCTTATGTTTTCTATTTAAAAGAAAGGATATACAAATAGCATTTCCAGAATACAAAAATATCACAGAGAAGTAGAATCTCCCAAGTATGGCGATGCTATCAATTCTTCACTTTTTTCAATGCAGTCTAAGTATCTGTCTTCTGCTGTCAGCTCTTGAGCGGCTAAACAGGGCTGGAGAAAGACACACCACCTTGCAGATAAAATTCACTCTCCAGGCATGACTGCCAGGCGCAAGGAGGCCTTCCGCGACACCCCTGCCATGCATTCTAGCCTCGTTCCCAGCCTGGTGCTTCCCAGAGTCTGGTCGCTGAACCAGCAGAATCAGCATCACCTGGGAACTTGTGAAACTGCAAACTCTTGGGCGCCTCTGCAGACCTCCAGAATCTGCAACTTTCAGGGTGAGGCAATGCGCGGGATAACAAGTGCAGTGGCAGGAGGTGGGCAAGGGGAGGAAGCACTGGCATGGAAGCGTGTCCGTCCACCCTTCCGCACTCCTAGTTCCCCAAGCTCTTTTTTCCTCAAGCCTCCGACTTCTCCTCTGCCTCCTTGTTTCACCCCAGGATCTTCCAAAGGCTTCCACCCCCAAATCTCCCAGCCCACCGCCTAGACCCGTGTCAGTGCACTCTGCCTCCCCCAACCCTGTCCTCCCTCAGTCTATTCCGTCCCCTCCTGCCCGCAGGCGTCCTGCATTCTCTGTTCTTTCTACTGGGTGGTAATTCCCACCAGCTTACAAATAATGCTGTTATGGCTCTTATCCTAGGACACAGACACGCCCTCCCTGACCCCCAAGCTCCTTTGCGTGCTCTCCATAACAGAACTCCTCAGGAAAGTTGTGTACACACGTGGCTGCCATTGCCCTACTCTCTTCTCTCTTGCACCCACCCTTGCCGAGCTTTGGCCCCGCTGCTCCACTCAGATGCTCTTGCCAAGGTCACCAGTGCCTTCCACATGTCCAAATCCCATGGCCGTGTCTCTGTAGGGCATCTTACTCAAGCCAGCAGCAGTTAGTAAAGCTGATCACGCTTCTTGGAAGGATTTCTCCCCTTGTCTCTGGGACAACACTGCTTCTTGGCTTTCTTCTACTTCACAGGCCCCTCCTTCCCTCCACCTCCTTCCCAGACTCTAAGCTTTGGGGAGACCCAGAGCTCAGCCCTTGGCCCTCTTTTCCTGTCCCCACTCACTCTGTGGATGGTCTCATGCAACCCCATGGCTTTTCAAACCATAGACAGCTGACCCTTGAACAACAGAGGTTTGAACTGCCTAGGCCTACTTAGATTTTTTTTGCCCCAACCAAACATGGGTTGAATAATACGGTATTTGCAGGATGCAGATATGTGGAAGGTGGCTCCCCCAGGCCCATTGGGTATGCAGGGATTTTGGTGAACATGGGAGTCATGGAACCAGTCCCCTGTGTATAATGAGGGACAACTGTATATGCTGATATTAGAATTTGTTTTTCCTGCTTCTTCCTCACCCCTGAACTCGAGACACATATCCAACTGTCTCTCAGCATGGCTACATGAATGCCTCAGGGGCAGCTCAAATGAACATCCCCCAGCAGGATACTCGATTCTTCCCACCCACCTCCAAACCTACTCCAATCCCAATCCTACCCTCTAAGGAAATAGACTTAATTGTAGCAGCCTCCCAAGTATTGCACTGCTTTCTCCTCTGCCCCCTCACCCTATCTGTTTTTAATATTATCAACCCAATTGGTCCTTTAAGAAACATAGATGAGGCCAGGTGTAGTGGCTCACCCCTGTAATCTTAACACTTTGGGAGGCTGCGGCAGGAGGACCACTTGAGGCCAGGAGTTTGAGATCAACCTGGGCAACACAGCAAGACTTCGTCTCCATAAAAAATTTAAAAATTAGTCAGGCGTTGTGCCTGTAGTCCCAGCTACTTGGGAGGCTGAGAAGGGAGGATTGCCTGAACCCAGGAGGTTGAGGCTGGGATGAGTTGTGATCATACCACTGCATAGGCGGCGACAGAGTGAGACTCTGACTAAATGAAAAAGAAAGGAAGGAAGGAAGGAAGGAAGGAAGGAAGGAAGGAAGGAAGGAAGGAAGGAAGGAAGGAAAAGAGAACTCATGTCACTGATTTTAAACTCTTCAATGGCTTTCTACCTCAACGAAGATAAAATCCAAAGTCTCACTGTTACTTAAAAATTCCTTGACTATGCTGAGCACCTTGGTGTTTACAGCGAATTGTTTTCTCTGACCAGATCACTCTTACTCTGGGTATCAGCACAGTCACTCCCTCTCATCCTTCAGACGTCTGCTCGGGTATCATCTTATCTGAGGCCTTCCCTGACCATCCTATGAAAAACAGTACCCCGTCGGGCTCGGTGGCTCAGCTTGTAATCCCGCGCCTTTGGGAGGCTGAGGTGAGTGGATTGCCTGAGCTCACGAATTCGAGACTCGCCTGGGCACAAGACCTCATCTCTACAATAAATCAAAAAATCAGCCGGGCGTGGTAGCGCATGCCTGTAATTCAAGCTACTTGAAGGCTGAGGCAGAAGGATCGTCGGAGCCCAGCAGGTCGAGGCTGCGGTGGCCGGGAGCAGCCACTGGGCGACAGAGTGAGACTCCAACTCAAAAAAAAAAGAAAAGAAAAACAGTACTCCACCATACCATACCCTCACTCCGAACTTTGCTTTCTTCGTCATCCTAGCACTTACCACCCTGTCGATTTGTTATTTGATTATTCTGTTCCTCTACTCACTAGGATATAAGCTCCAGCAGAGCAGAGACTTGGTTTATTTTGTATCCTCAGCACTTAGAACAATGAGCTGATGGTCAGTCTTGAGGAATTTATTTAACATACATGTTTCTTAAACAAATGACAAATGACATGAGGAAAAATATATATAATAAAAATAAAAAATAAATACAACAGCTGACAAACTACTTGATCTCTACACATATTTTATTTTATTTTTATTTATTTATCTATTTATTTTTGAGTTGGAGTCTCACTCTGTCGCCCAGACTGGAGTGCCGTGGCCGCTCCCGGC